TGACGCCTAACTCCAAATATTCACGTTTAAATTAATGAAGCGTTGTTTTTGTCTGACATTTCACCGCCATCGAAATCCATTCATAGTTACTGTGCTTTCGATTGTCCTTTTGATTGGCTGTTATAAAAGCCTTATATTTAGCCCCGCCTTCATGATGACAGCGTATCGTTTAAAAAGATGGCGGTCTTAGTAACGGCTTAACGCCTCGATTTTTAAAACGACGATTTGTACCCGTTTCAGGTAGGATTATATGATTAATTGTAGTTGGGTGTTGTAGAAATATTATAAATAACAATAATCAATCGTTGTTTTGATTAAAACTATTGTCGATTTTGTTTAAAAATGCCGGGTGTGAATCACTCCCGCAGCTGCAATGTTATAGGTAATGGGCTCATGTCTTATCTCGAAACACGGAGGGTTGAGAGATTAAGGTTTGTTATCTAGCGTTGTGCATGCCCCATGCCTTTTTATCTAAAATGTGAAATATGTATAAAATTTGTGGACCCTCCAGGGGCAACATCTTTTGTCTGATTTAAGGGGGGCTTTTGTCAACCTTACAACTGAGAGCAACTGGCATTTTGACGACTGGGAGCAAATGGCTTTTCGACGACTGTGAGCAACTGACTTCAACTGACTGCAACTGAAAAAGGTTGACTTTGTGATAATTAGCTGGGGTTTTTTACCTTCAGCAGGTAGGGTTGGTCTGTTGTTCAGACTATATAGCAATATACTCAATAATAATATAGGCCTAGGATTCATAAATGGTAATTAGAACTAGCGTTGTTTTTTCCGTACATGTAACGAGAATGCAGAGGGTAACAACTGATCAGTCTCCTGGCCTTATTCAATTGGTTGTTTGTTTGGTAATGAGAGGACTAATTATATTTAGGATATTTCTGAGCTCATCCTCATGTAGCCTATTTTCTGTACATACAAGAGTCACTCAATTTGAGCTATTTAAGACAACTACGCCACTGACTCATCATCATTGACAAAAACAATATTAATTGAAGTATTCTCCACGCTGACAACCAAATGCATTTTGAAGTGTCACATCACAAAACATGTGACAATTTGTATATTGTGTGATTGTCAAAATCGTGTGTAGTGGGCTCACTCCACTTCATTTGCAGCGATATTTGTCATCAAACCTGTTCTTTAAAAGTTTAAGTTATTGCGTAATGTGCACCAGGCTAAAGGACACTATTTTTAAAACCGATCCTTTGTCAGCATGTGTATGACATACCGGTACTAAATTATAACAATAAATTTTTTTCAAATTTGATGTGAAGTATAGGGAGATTGAGAGTGTGAGTCCTGTTGACTTTCTCTGTTCATCTTTTGCAAAATCTTGATTGTCAAGTACCATTGCTACGATAATAAAGTCTCATTTATCCAATTTATCATTAGATTATTAAATGATGATGATGTTCTAATCCATTCAGTATCTAAGCCATCCAAGAGTTAAAGATGGGCTTGTCATATGAAGATTATATATCTCGCATAATTTCTCTTTAAGGACCCTTTTGACTTGCAAAACTTAATGAGTAGCCAAATTGAAAGATATTTTGAATTGATGTGTCTAAATGTTAAATGTACGAAGTGTCATGGTCAGAGTTTATCAGTAGCCTACCATGACTACCTAAACAAAAATACCAAGAAAACATAGTTATGACCCATTGAAGGAGGTATGTTATCATAAACTGATGTCATATATCAGTTGCAGTATATATGTACACATTTAAACATACATTATGCAAGAGCTAAATCTGTCTATTGCAGGTCTTTCTTTAAGTCTGAATTATTAATTAGACATTAATTAACCTATCCAGACCATAATCAACTCTAGATGGCATAGCTAGCCTGTGATCTTAAGTGGATTATGAGCCGATTTACTGCATAACTTTCCTTCACGATTTAACGATTAAATGGATAATTGAGACTGTGCTATTTATCGTACTGACTTTAGTAATGATGATAGAGGCTAGGCGAAAATTTCAAATGCTTAGTTCTTGGTTCATAGTGGATCAATTTGAATGAAGTTTTCCGCAAATTGCCTTTACATTATCTAGTTTTTAACTATTATAGCGAGAACTGCCAACTCGTTATCGAATATGCCTTAATGTATCTTTAAAGATACATTATGGCAGATTAGATAAAGAGTTGACTGTTCTCGCTATAATAGTTAAAAAATAGATAACGTAAATAGAATATGTTTAAAATTTCAGTCAGATTGCTCCACTCTGAACCAAGATATTAGCTTTTGAATTTTAAGCCTAGCCTCGATCATCATTACTAAAGTCGGTACGATAAAAAACATATTCTAGATTATCCATTTTTTAATTTTTTCATCTGTCAGCATTGAGCAGCAGATCGGATTCAAATCCAGTGAAAATCTGACACTTAATATGACATCGAGAGTTGATTATGGTTTGGATAAGTTAAAGAGGAAGACCAAGGATTTTCAACAAGATTTCCATAAATCTTAAATATATATTCATAAATGATACTTCTGTAACACAAGAAAAAAAAGTTTTTGTAAGCGAGAAATTAATTTTTATTGGTTCAACACACCCACTGGTCTCTATAGTGAGCATGCAGATTTGGCATAACTTTGCTGTTGTATTTTATTAACACACCACGATATTAGCGACCTATCATTTTGGTTTGCTGTCTTGTTGTCGACTTTTCGAGTTTTGCCTCTGAAGTTGTTGTAGTCTCTATATTCCAAGTCACTTTTGAATATTTGCAATTCACGTTAACAAAATCGTCTGTGTGATAAGGCTAGATAGTGGTCATTTACGAGATTGTTAATAATAATATCATATTTATACAAAAATATGACTAATTAAGCCAAAATGCAAGTTGAAAAGTAGAAGTAACAATAAAACAAGGGGCATTCCCCATTTGAGTTGATTTTGCTTATGTTCTAAAGGGGTGAAAAGTAGAAATTACAAATGGTAGGTATAGGCTTCCATACGTAAGCCTGTTCTTTTAACATTGTGGAGCTTGATGTATATTGTAATTATGTAAGAAAAGACCTGATTGAGAAAGGAATTTGAATTTTATTTTTCCTTCTTTTTTTCTTTTTTTTTTATTTGTTTGTGGGGGTGATAAAGATGCAATATGTTACTCATTGTTTGCATTGTACATCTCTATGTTAAAACATGTTTTTCCTTCATTTTCTTTGACCTTTAACCCACTGAAGTCTGAACACATACTTAGGAAGTTAAATTTTTACTCTCATCATTACCAATGAAAATGTCGCTCACCTGTAATGTTTCTATGACAGTGCGACTTCCCCAAAATTGTTTTTTAAGCCAAAAGAGATTATTTTCTGACATGTCTAATTGTATGATTTTCATTCGCCAGATTTTTGACGTGTTTCAGATAATTTGTTAAGTCAAATGTTACATGTGACAGTATAAAGAGAAATATCACATGCTGTGAGAACATTTGTCGCATGGATCAACTTATTGTATTGTAGTTGATTTTTCCCTGTCAAAAATCTGTTAGACATGTAAGCAGATACATATGCACAGGATTTTACTGACCACTGAAGTAAGTACGACTGTGATTCACTTTATGTGAATTCAAGGATTTTAGTATGTACAGTTATCTTAGACTCTTATTTTGCATAAATTTTTACAGTTACATGAATATTTGTAATCTGTTGAATAATGTGTCTTAACTCTAAACTACATGTATTGACAAAATACTGTTTATTGTCGTATTGTCATTTTGCTCGTCATTGATGTTCTGCAGAAGAGTAGCACGTTAAAGTTAAACCCCATTTCATTTCATTTGTCAGATCGCTGTTATATTCATTGGCTTCTACTTTAATCTTGTAACATTTCAATGTTTTACTGGTTTTATAAACACCTTAGAGGATTCATTACATGTTTTGGTACCTTTGGTACGAAACACGTATTGTTTTCGTAAGAGTTTTTATTTATTTAATTTTTTTTGTGGATTTTAGTCAGAAGTTGCAGCCAAAGCTGTGCATTGTGTTAACATTCTGCCAACGTAGATATTGTTGGCCTCCGTGGAACTATTTGTTAAATATAAATTGGGTCATTTTTGACAAACATGAAGTGTTTTGCGAATGGTACAAAAAATAATCTCAGATTGCCCATATCTCCGTTATTTCTCAACGGATCTTAATAGGTATTAGATGTTACTATACTCAATAGTTCATGGTGTAACTTGATTGTTGACGTGACAGGGCGTGACCTGACGTACCGAAACACGTCAGTACTGTTTTTACGCAGTTCTAGTTTTATTTTTTACTGCTCATTAGAAGCATGATGATATTTTGAGATAAAAATAAGTTGCGGTGATGAATGGGTGTTAAGTTTTATGATATAAACATTGTTACAATGTACATGTCATACATATGCTATGGTTAAAGATACATTATGGGAGATTAGATAAAGAGCTGGCAGTTCTCAATAGTTAAAAACTAGATAATGTAAATGGAATTCGCTGAAAATTTAAGTCCATTTGATCCACTCTGAACCGAGAATTTAGTGATTGAATTTTGGGCCTATCCTCTATCATCATTACTAAAGTTGTTACGATAAAAAACATAGTCTTGATTATCGATTTCTTGATTTAATCACGAATGAGCATTGAGCAGCAGGTCGGATCCTAATCCAGTAAATATCGCAGGGTAGCGATGACATCGAGAGTTGATTATGGTCTGAATAAGTTAATTAATGTCTTATTAGTAATTTAGATAACATTTCAGACCTAAAGAAAGACCTGTAATAATAGGCAGATTTAGCTCTTGCATAATGTATGTTTAAGATAAGCTGTGTGACACATAATCAGAAATAAGCTTACATCAGATAATTTATCAGGTTTGTGTTAAATTGTAGGCCTATGAAATTGATATATTTCTAACTGATTTAATGCTCAAAACATAATCATAAATATTCATTCATTAAATAAATTATTCAGTGAAATTTAATTGTGTTTAAACTTTATTTTACAAGCAGACTTTACAAGACTATGGTAAGTGAATAATTTTATTGATTGGTGTTTGTGTCATAGCATGCTGGTATATTGAGCTTGAAATGTATAAATAGTGCAGGTGGATAGTGATATCAGTGTTGTAGTTGTTTTATTTGCATGTTATTTATTGGATAAACATTTATTAAATGTTCATGTAGATCAGATTTAAAGGGAAATACTGTCATAACTGTATGACAGAATTCATTAGTCTGAAATTTGACGATGTAAAATAATTGAGTAGCCATAATTTATGTAAAGTATGTCTGTATTTAGAAGGCAAACCAAACAATCAATATTTATTTGGCATTGGGCCTTTAAGTTTAATTAACGCGTTGATTAGATTATTAATAAGGTGTAGAAATTGTAATTATTATGCATGCATGCACAAGATATGTAATGATTTTTTAAATACCCACCTTCCAGATTTATGTCCCTTTGTTACTAGAGCTTTATAGGCTGCAATTTATATTAAGCTACCTTTCTGAAATTTTTGTCCCTTTGTTACTAAGTCATTAAAGGCTGAAATTGTTAAAGATACATTCTCACAAATATATTTATCAGGTGGTTATTTCCAATAATACTTAAATACTGGATTACCCCAAAAACACCCATGGGGTAAGCACTGGGTAAAAATGTCAGAGTATCACTAATTGGCAACCCGATGGCTTATTGTCAGCCAGCTTGACAAAGGGAGCAGTTGTTATTTCTTAATCGAACATTGAGCATTTGGAACATTAAATGGTTTAAACGTACAACAGACATGGCTTCTAAAAATAGATTTTTTACAGCTTGGGGTATCTCCTCACGAATACAATATTTTGAGAGGAATCTGAAGCAAATTTTTGATAGATTAATCAGTTTGAATATGTTTTTGTCCAAATATATCATCAAATCACACAGTTTGTATGCAGGAAAGTATCTTTAAGCTATCTATTTGAAATTGTTACTTATAGACTGCAATTTTGAATTATTAAGCTACCTTTCTGAAATTTATATTGGTAGTCTATTATGAGATATTCCCCATATGAAATCTTGTTAGTACCTTAGTGGATTTAATTTAATCTGTTAAAATTTGTATATATAGATATATATGTTGTTGCCAGTTAAAAAAATTTACGCCAACATTTTTATGTGGTGGTATTAAGCTGTTGCTGCTCTCCATCCATCAGGTCCCAATTTTTATCTGATTTTGACGAAACTTGAAATATAGGTCCATTTTTTTTTCCTTTCGATATTGACATGTATCAGACCATAACTGCATAGATTATGGCTCCTAATTGTTTGAAAAATCACATTTTTAGCTTGTAGACACTCTAGAGGTCACAATTTTCATCTGATTTTGATGAAACTTGAAATGCATGTTTATAACCCAAAGATCTTGGTTCCAGTCGATATTTACTCATGTTGGATCGTAACTTTCTAAATTATGACCCTCGTTTGTACGAAAAATCACGTTTTTAGCTTGTGGTCCCCTCTAGAGTTCACATTTATTTTCCGTTTTAAGAAACGTTAGAATATATCACCGTTACACCGTAATGTCGGTTGAGTTCGAATTTCGTGAAATCGGACCAAAACTCCTTGTACACAAATAGTGTAAAAGTATGTAATACCAAGGTTGTGGACCCTCTAGAAGTCATAATTTTTATCCGATTTTGATGAAATTAAAAAAAAACCTTTATACCCCAAATATCTCAGTTCCTATCAATATTTGAGCATTTCAGACCATAAGTTCCTGGATTATGGCCCCTACTTGTAGAAAAATCGCTTTTTTCTTGCAAAATGTGGGTGTATCTTGCCTGGCAACCGCTGTTTTTTTTGTTGATTAACCAGATGTTCAGATGTTTTATTATACATGCACTAGATATTAGCTGTATATTTACATATGAATCATTATAAAGCACACACTTGAGGTAGGGCTGTCATATTATATTTACTGTATATCTGTGACTGTTTAGACTTTGTTTTGAGATTTGATATGCTCTGTCAGTATCTTATTGTAGCTTCTTGGTAAATGGTGGGGGCAGAGGGCATGAACGCTGACCTCAGGAGAGGTAGTTTTATTCTTCTAGTCATGATTGTTAAGACTTCGGTATATGCTCGAGCTTCACTATAATGAGTTCCCTGCATCATCTTCGGGGTGTCACTGAAAAACTGTTGGGTTCCATGGCAACGCTCTGTCTGAAAGTGAGGTCCCATGGTACATGTAGTATAATATATGAAACTTACCTGTCGGTCTACTATTAGCTTCACATTAGAACAGACACAAGCTGGTTGACCAACGCTTTAATTCCCATGTGGAAAATTTTAGTGAAAAACACTAAGTCTATTTCGAGAAGTTTGAGAAGTTCTGATTCCACTTCCATTTTCTTATTTAATAAAATTGAAAATGTTTATTTAGTCTTTGTGTGTATAAAAGATGTAAAACTTAGTTAACGAAATAGTACACAAATTTTTCACATTTTTTTTATCTGTCGTTCTGACCACAGAGACAGCACAGATTACATGTTGCTTTTATGGGTGTAGTAAACATTTTCCTTCATAAATGTACCGTCAGACATTTGTTGAAATAAACCATGTGCTTAAAGATAGAATATGTAAGAATTAGATAAAGAGCTGGCCGTTCTTGCTATAATAGTTCAAAAACAGATAATACAAAATGAATATATTGAAAATTACTTTATTTTGAGCCAAGTTATCACTTTAGTTTTGACAAGATGTGTTTATTAATTATGTATTATCGAAACCATGGTACTGGTATATCTGAGGCTTAGCCTTGCTTTAAATTAAATCAATAAATGACTGAACTGTTCTAATCTAGTTAAAATCTCGAGTATTGGGAGTTGATTATGGTTTTGTCATTATAATGAATATCTAATTAACAATTTATATAACATTAAAAGGCCTAAAGAAAGGCCTAAAGAAAGGCCTAAAGAAAGACCTGCAATAGGCAAATTTAGCTTTTCCATAATGTATCTTTATGGAAAGTACCGGGTAGTACAGTTGAAAAAACCATACCCACAAATGATTATAATAAGCTTTTTTAATTGACGCCATTCAGGACAGAGATCTATACTCAAAGTAGTAAGTTGTCTGTGTGCAGAATGGTATTGTCAAGTCCACACACCACACCATTTTAATTTTGAGCTCTTCAGAGTCTTGATAAATAGCCTACAGGGAACGATGGTTTGTTACTTCAATTTTCATGGTTATAAATTTGGTACCAGAAGATGGTGCGAAGAGCAATCAAATGTTTTTTGTATAACGATTCCTACTTTTTATTCCATAACCGAGCATGGTTGGAATGGCATCTGGTTTTAAACGTTTAAAACTAAGTGTAGCCCTAACAATTCACCACGCAAGTCCCACACACACTATGAAAATGATCAGAAAATGACGCTGAATTTAAATTGTCGATTTTGTGACCAGTACCAATTTAATGTTCCGCAAACAGAGAATTACTCTGTGCCTTATATCTGGATTTCTGGGTGGGATGGGGAATTTAAAAATAGGTCACTTATCGATTTTGTTGTCTTACTTTTAAACACCGAAACGCACATTCAAGTATGTCAACTATGAAGTTAATGCACTCTGACATCAGCAGTTTGTCGACGTAACTATTAATCTTAGTTATGATTGGTTGATAATTATAGATGATCCGGCACATGGCGCTGTCCATTGGTGACATTTATTAAATAAAATATGCCTTTTTGGTCTTTAAAATTAAATAGTTGATGCCAGTTGTGAGAGTGCTTATGTGGAGTTGCAGAAAGTTGCACATAGGCAAATGGCTTCAACTGACAATCGGGTCGATCCTTTTCAGTTGCATTCAGTTGAAACCAATTACTCCAAGTTTCTGAAATGCCAGTTGCTCAGCGTTATTAGGTTGGCATAAGCCTCGCTTTAGAGACAAACCTTTGGAATATTCTAGAGTAAAAAAGAACCACATTTTATATTTAATATCATTTATTATAAGATATTTATTTATTAACAGATGTTCATCAGAACAATCAATATATATATTTATTTCAGTGCTAAAAAGATGTTATTAATCAAATAAAACCTTAGTTAATACTAGTCAAAAGTATTTTAATGATATATCGTAATCAATGTGAACCAATATACATTGAAGGTGTGCAATATAATGGATAATATTGATTTTCTCACTACATATACTAATTTAATCAAGTTTTTAATGTCTTTTTACCAAAAGACCAAACTGAAGGAACAGAAATCAGATCTTGGGGGCTGCATTTTATATAATTATTGACATCCCGCATGTGTTATCCCTACAAATAACCTTATCTACTGTTTCAAGTAGACTTATGTTTTACATTGAGCATTAGCAATTTGAGCAGGTCGTCTGTCAGTAATCTAAAATCAACCAACAACATAATTTTTGACCAAATCTGGAGGCTAAAACCCACAACTGCAGAAAAGGTTAAGAGAGGAAATAACACAAAATGAAATTAAGAAAAAAAAGAATGGTATTAATAATTTGGAAGGACATATCTTTAAAAATATTTTAGTGTTAATACCAGTACCTTTAAACTTAGTTAGACGGCCAGTCAAATGCCTTGTCACTATCACTAAATACACCCAAAAAAGAAATTTTACTTCTGGAGGTGACCAGGTGGTAATTTGCCATGCAAATCATTTTACTGGATTAGAGACTGTCATGATTAATCAATAACATTTAATTAAAAATTCATATTGGAATAAATGACATTGATTTTTATACATCTACAAATGTAGATGATATTAATTTGATTGATATCTTTTTTATTGAAATATTAGTGAACATTTAAATAAGAGAAGCATTATTTCAAGTATATACCCATAAAATTCATATTAGTTTTTTTTTTCCTTTTCCATCGAGAAAGAACTAGGGTTGAAACTACTTGAAACATCCATACTTCTCACTGGGTCAATTTGGGACGAACATGTGAGTACTTGGAAAAAACCTTTGCAACCTTACTCTCCTTGTCATGGGCAAGCGTGGG